AAACAATACATAATAAATATGATGAAAACAAAAATATCAAATATTTGTCGAAAACGTGGTACAAACTGAATATAACATGTACGGAAACATTACTGCCGTCTGAAACTAACTTTTAATTTATAATTAGACAGGAACATATATATTAAAAGTAATATTTACATCTGATAACTATTGTGTGTTCGAAAGATGTGTATTGCGGAAAGAAAACGACTCGTTTGGGGAAAGATACTTGTAGTTCGATACGAAAGTTGTGACATCGCATCGAAGTAAATAACACGTCACTGTTTACTTGCTCATTATAATATTCCAGCCCAGCTTGCGTTGGGCATACGGCGTTTGACTTTGGTGTTACCATGGAGGTTATAATCTGATTAACTACTGGCTGAAAATAAAACATATGGATGAAACCACTCTGATCTCTGAGGCCTACAAACTTGGCACCAATTTGGACAAAGAAAACGTCAGTAATTGGACCACAGGCATAAAAAAATTACTGAACCTTTTGGAAATTAGTGATGTTTGCGAAAAAACCAGTATTATCCCATTAGCTACAAAAAAACTAAAAAATATGTTTGAGAAACACTGCACAGAAACAATGCATAATGACAATAAAGGCACTAATCACAAAAATAAACTTCGTACCTACAGACAGCTGAAAACTGATTTTGCACTTGAAAAATACCTTGAAATTATTAAAAACCCCATCCACAGATCATCTATGACTAAACTGAGGATAAGTGCCCACATACTTCAGATTGAAGTTGGGCGATATCACAACATAGATGTCTTAAATAGAACATGCCCTGTCTGTGACTCCAATGAAATTGAAGATGAAGAACACTTCCTCTTCAATTGTAACCAGTACAAATTTGAAAGAGATGCTTTGTTTGAAAACGTAAACTTATCCGGTAATCTGAAAGCACTTCTCAATAACAAAAATTCTGAAACCGTCCAAGCAATTGCCAAGTTTATCAGCGACTGTTTCAATAAAAGAGAGAATTTCATGAAAAGCAATTTATCAGCTGCCTCAAAATAACACCATAAAAATATTTATATAATAATATTTTCACAGTATTACTATTTATTTCTTTTTTATTATTATTATTACTTATGTATTTTATTGTTCCTTATATCCTTATTGTATTCTAATCTAGATCCCAGAAGGGATACGATATCAATAAAAGTTGTTATTATTATATTACATAAACATAACTATTGATGAAATGAGCAGAATTCACCATATCATAACTGCTTTTTTTTTTTAAATATCAATCAAAACAAAACACTAACCTGAAGATTTCCAGAAGGACCAATCAGACATATACATTAGGTTCTTATGTAAGCATCGTTTTTTGCGATGTTCAACACAACCATCATCTCTGTCTTTTCCATCAAATGTAATTTCTTTAACATGTTTACCACATGGACACTTCAAGCATGGCATGTATGACAAA